GCTGTCCCAATTCTTAGGGGTACATTTTTGAAGCCTCTCCCCTTAACCCTCGGTTGTAAGGGCTAAGGGGAAGGGGTAGGGGTACAAAAATAGAATTGGGATTTGGGCAAAATCACCTCAGAGTGGTTGAAACATCCCCAAACAGCACACAAGGGTTAAACATCTTTTGGGAAATATGTATAAAAAAAAAATAAATAATAATCACAGGAGGAAATAATTTGATGTGGGAAAAAAGTGTGAAATAACACGCGAGTGAGTCCAGCAGATCAATTACTACCACATCCTCAAGGGTCCAGATCATTTCCATGACCAGAGACTGACCTCAATACAGCTGATTGCTCACACTTTCTAAACACACACACACACTAAAAACTGAAATCAGTTCTCGTATTCAACACACAGCGCAAATACAGGCCACTAAACCCCCAAACAAAAGAGGAGAAGGCCGTATAAAGCGCCACGGCAGATATAGAGAGCCATGTATTGATTTTTCTGTAAGTGAAGTAGGACAGGTAGGTTTGCGAGGTGTCCCTTAGGTCCACGGCGTGTAAAAACCTCTCGCTTTCTGTGTGTCTGTGTTTTTATGTGCTGTTGCTTGTCGATGTGTGTGTGCTGGAGCCAGCGGTTCATTAACAGCACCTCCAATAAAGGCTTTATCTGCGGCTCACAGACACAGCGCTGACCGTCACATACACACACTGCAGAAGATAAGGCACATGCTCTCCACATTCACAACCAATGAACAAACACAGAAATAAAACACACATACACACGCACCAGTCCACCACAAGACTGCAGGATCATCATTTAATCCCAGCTACACCTGTACATGACCAATGGCCAAGTGTGGCCATCAGCAAAAACACTGATTGGCCACGACCGGACACTTAATTTAAATACTCCTAATTTATTTCTCGAAAGCATCAAAACTTGCTTCCTCGTAAAAGAAACACTGGTACACTCCGAGCTCGGAGTGTATAAATGTTGTAGGATTGGTGGGTTAAATTGGTGCCTTGACCCAGATGAGAGTGAGGTTAAGGGGGATGGTATAGGACCAGTAGGGTGGTGTAGGATCAGTGGGTGATGTAGGAGGAATAGGTGGTGTAGGATTGGTGGGTTAAATTGGTGCCGTGACCCGGATGAGAGTGAGGTTTATAGGTGGTGAGTGTAATAGAGGTCAGCTAGTGAAGTGTTATGCAGGTAAACTCACTCTCTTGATCTCAAACAATGCTCTAGCGACAGACGCTAGTGGCTGCTGTATTTAGCCTCCTCATTCGAGCATTCAAAGCCATGCAAAGAATCACTGGTTTGATCCCAGATCAGAGCAAATGGGTGGTGTAGGACCAGTGGGTTTAATTGGTGCCGTGACCCGGATGAGAGTGAGGTTTAGGGGGGTAGTGTAGGACCAGTGGGGTGGTGTAGGACCAGTAGGTGGTGTAGGAGGAATGGGTAGTGTATGATTGGTGGGTTAAATTGGTGCCGTGACCCAGATTAGAGTGAGGTTTATGGGTGGTGAGCGTGATAGAGGTCAGCTAATAAAGTGTAATGCAGATAAACCTCACTCTCTTGATCTCAAAATGTGACGCTAGTGGCTGCTGTATTTAGCTTTCTCATTCGAGCATTCAAAGCCATGCAAAGAATAGCTGGTTTGATCCTAGCTCAGACCGAATGGGTGGTGTAGGACCAGTGGGTTAGATTGGTGCCGTGACCCGGATGAGAGTGAGGTTCAGGGGGGTAGTGTTGGACCAGTGGGTTAAATTGGTGCCGTGACCCGGATGAGAGTGAAGTTTAGGGGGTAGTGTAGGAACAGTGGTGTGGTGTAGGAGGAATGGGTGGTGTAGGACCAGTGGGTTAAATTGGTGCCGTGACCCGGATGAGAGTGAGGTTTAGGGGGGTAGTGTAGGACCTCAAAATCTCAAAATGTGACGTTAGTGGCTGCTGTATTTAGCCTCCTTATTCGAGCATTCAAAGCCATGCAAAAAAATCGCTGGTTTGATCCCAGCTCAGAGCCAATGGGTGGTGTAGGACCAGTGGGTTAAATTGGTGCCGTGACCCGGATGAAAGTGAGGTTTAGGGGGTTGTGTAGGACCAGTGGGGTGGTGTAGGACCAGTGTGTGGTGTAGGAGGAATGAATGGTGTAGGATTGGTGGTTTAAATTGCAAAGATTCATGCAAAGAATCGCTGGTTTGATCCCAGCTCGGAGCGAATGGGTGGTGTAGGACCAGTGTGTTAAATTGGTGCCGTGACCCGGATGAGAGTGAGGTTTAGGGGGTGAGCATATTGGAGGTCAGCTAATAAAGTGCTATGCAGGTAAACTCCACTTGCTTGATCTCAAAATGTGCACTAGCAGATGCTAGCGGCCACGGTCTTTAGCCTAATTTCTTGAAGTTACATGAATTTTTATAGTCACAAATATAAAAAGCATTGACAAAAGCCAAAACTGTATCAGCTTAATTGAGATAATAGAGGGTGTAACTGCAAAAATATGATTTAAGAAGCTGTTTCAACTTTAGAAAATAATGTCTTTGCTTTTTTTATTTGACCTGATCTGTCTTGTAATCCAAAATATCACATTTGTGTCTCAAAAAAAGACAAATTCTGTCACTTAAAGGCACAGTACGTACATAATTTTTTTTTACTGAAAACTGAAGGTGTGTAAGAACACAGCACACGCTCTGTCACACTAGTTAAAATTTCTCTGCATTTGAACATTGTTCAGAACATTTGGAATAATGTACATTAATGTATAACACTATTCTAGCGTCTTTTAAAAATCCTTATAGCACTTTATATGCTTTCATAAAAATCAGTCTACAATGCAAATGTTTGTTTGGATGATCACGGTAACATAAAATATTAACACAAGTAATTGAATGAATTCTCTGATAAATGAATCCTGGTCTAATCTCATCTATATCTCTAAAGCACTGTGTTACGTGCCGCAGGTCAACAGTCGCTCCTCTGACAGAGGCACAGATACGGGGTTTCGTCCCGCTGGAATGATGATGTTTGTGTTTGCAAACATGCAATCAGTCAGCACTAATGGCAGCTGAACTGCACCCTAATCTTTAATCGACTGGCTAATTAGAAAACATCATGCAAATTGTGTGGTAATTACATCTTAATCGTGCCGTGATTGGACAAGTGGAGTATGCGAACGATAGAGGGCAGGGATGACAAAACATTCCTCTCACACAGAAAGCCGTCCTAAACTTCCACACACACACACACACACACACACACACACACACTGAAAAAGGTTTGTAAAAACTATTGTTATGTAAAACCGAATGTAAGATGAAAGTGTGCTGTTTGCTGTTCATTCTTCTTGATTATGGCCAACACAATGGTAGTTCTACTAACATCACACTCTTAAATAAAAACATGAGATTGTGTTTGAGTTCAGTAGGGATCCACAAACAGCTTGAACTTCTATTTTGAAAATAGGGTTTGTGCTGTTGGGCCAAAACAACCCCAAATAGACAGATTTTGATGTCATGTAATGTGTGTGTATATATATATATATATATATATATATATATATATATATATATATATATATATATATCAGAGGTCACGTTAACCGAATATTTTCTGTCATTGACAGATTTTTTTCAGCAGTGACGGAAAAATCTAAAGGTGATATGCTGAGGGGGATCTATTGTAATTTGTTGCTAACTGTAATTCCCACTGCTGTCCAGCTGATGGCGATTGTCATTGTTTTGTCTCCTCTTTGTCACCGCTGCGCACAGTTGCAAAAATCTCACAGCAGCTGAGTGTGGGAAGTTTCTTTAAACGGCCAAATAGTTGTGATATTAATAATAAAGGTGAAAAAAAGAGGAAGTGATGCAGAGGACGATGAAGAACAAACAGACAAAAATCCTCAGTCGCCAACAGCTGTTTTGGCCAACCAAGTGGCAACAAGGAGGTCAGGTGGTTTAGAGTGCATTGTGAGCACCATGCACTACTGAACGCAGAGGGGTGAAGCCGCGCTCCTAGTGCTGAAGGAGCGCGTGCTGCAGTATTTTTTGTCACTAGTGCTTGCAAGACCGGGAAATCCAGAAAATCCAGCAAACTTCTGATCACTTCCTTAGGAGAAATGTTTCCTAACTACAAAATGCTGCTGAAGTTGCGCTACCTAGATAGCAGTAAGTAATCGGTCCGAGCTCGGCTGCCTTTCGGCGCCTCCGGCTCCGACTCGGCATCGGCGAGTGTTATCCAGGCCGAGTATGGCCCGCAGCTCTCTCCCGCACATGCGTTTGTGATGCGGCTGTAAAGCACTGACCTGATTCCTGTTAACCATATCTGGCCCGAGTCTGTCTATAGAGTCCGAGCCGCTTCTGGCAAGGATTCTCCAGTGTGGCAGCAGAATGCGGCTTCAGCCTCCAGAACAAATTTGAAACCGTCACGAGAAGTCGACTTTCTGAGGCAAAGACACAGAATTTAATGACAATTGCCTCTGCATCAGTTTCTCTTGATGCGTTGGATTACGCACAGGCAAGCACCCAGTTCAGGTCGACGCCACATATATATATACGCCAATTATTATGGCATATGTTTTAATTAGCGATTGTCCTTCCAACCACAAACCCATACACACTCCATCAAATACACATTCATACACTAAGGCCAATTTTGTTTACCCTATTCCCCTATAGCGCATGTCTTTGGACTCTGGGGGAAACCGGAGCACCCGGAGGAAACCCACGCCAACACGGGGAACACGCAAACTTCATACAGAAACGCCAACTGACCCAGCCGGGACTCCAACCAGCGACCTTCTTGCTGTGAGGCAACAGTGTTAACCTGCGCCACCCAGCCGCCTTAAATTAATATAGCAATATTATATAAAATAATGTGTTTAATAACAAAACAGCTCCAAATGGATACTTTAAAGAGTACATTTTTGTAACTTTAAGATTTTAAGTTTTTGTTGAGAGAATTACTGATCTGTTTCTGTATATTAATGTAAACCTGTTCATCTGATTTGGTTCTCTTACCCCACAGCCGAGTTCATTATTCCCCGGCTCACAGCAGACTCTCCGCTCTTCATCCGGAGGGAGCAGACCAGCACCACATCCCGGAGCAGGACACAGAACGCCTCCCATCTGAAGAACACACTCCTCCGCCGCATACCGCTGGTAGCGCTCATACTGGAAATCAAAGGTGAACAACAGTATTCAAATATAGGAAAGATGACCTGCATGTCATTCCATACAGGAACACTCTCAGAATCAAAGGTGCAAAAGTTGTCGCTGTACCTAAACAGTAGAAATGCGTACCTCATCATATCTTAAAGTTACCAAGGTTCACCCATAAGGTATCAATGGGGAACTGTTACTGGATGTACCAAAGTGTCTCTTGTGGAAAACATCCCACCCAAGTGATTCTATTTGATTTCTACTGTACAAACAGAAATAAATATCAGAAAAAATACATATATTTTTTGATCAATACTAAAAACAATACTGTATTGGAATTAAGATGTTTAGAGATGTTTTATTAAAACTATTCCTGGATGTATTTTTATTTTTTTTTTTTATCGCTTTTTGAGCAAATTAGTCATAAGTTTGGTTAAGTTTATCCTACTCAGTTGTGCGCATGCATTTTTATTTGTGCATTCTCAGAATTTATGAGCATCTCTGCATTTCCATTAAATGTTTTTATGTAATCTAATAAAAAGCGCCCACAAATCGGTGGATGGAAACATAGCTACTGTGCAATTTTGAGTTTGCTTCAGGTGAGCGAGCTTGACAAACTACCTGTAGGACACAGTATCTCTTCTCCATATGCACCAGACATTTTCTAAAGACACCCCATGCTTCTTGGAAACATTGTGTAATTCTGAGTGTGCACCACATAGGCGAGTGGACATGACAAACCACCTGTAGGACACACTCTTTCCTCTCCATATGCACCAGACACTATAAGACACCCATGCTTCTTAGAAACACTGTCCAATTCCAAGTATGCTTCACACAGGTGAGTGGGCTTGACAAGCCACCTGTAGGACACACTCTTTCCTCTCCATATGCACCAGACACTATAAAACACCCATGCTTCTTAGAAACACTGTCCAATTCCGAGTATGCTTCACACAGGTGAGTGGGCTTGACAAACCACCTGTAGGCACAAGCTTTCTCCTCACCATATGTACAGACGGTGAAAAGACGGCTAAATAAATACATGTAAACGTGTTGGTATGGAGATTAGTTTGTAGTGAGTGATGTAGGGAAACAGCGGGCCTATTGATCTGGACGAAGCTGGGTTTTTGTGTTATTATCTCATTCAAAGGGAGATTTGCTGAAATGTGTGTGTTTGCATTAGTCCAAACATACCTGCTCTTCTCCCAGGACATGGAAATGATGAACCTCTTTAATGAGCGAATCAGGACAGCCAGCTAGAGACAGAAAATAAGCATAATAGAGTCAGGGACACAAGAGCTGAGCATCTACCTGTGAAGAAATCATCAGCACAACTGGGTTGTAACATTGGTTGCCAGATTAAGGTAAAAAAATGCTTTGAGATTTGAATAGTTTGTCAATTGTGTGAGGTGATGAGGGTCATACAAGATATGGCAACTTGACAAACATCGACAGAAAGGGATTTTTCGTTACTAGATTGGTCCATACAAATTATGGGAGTTTGGGTGTGAAATACAGAAGACGTACTGTTGACCATCTTGACAAAAACAACTCTTGGTTAGCATGGCAATAACCAAACGCACCATATGCTGTTGAATTCACCTGGGTGTTCCTCATCAGAATGCAATGGGAAATAACACGTGCATATATTAACATGCATTAAACTCTATATCTCAGCAATCCACAAACACTAATGAGAGCTGCTCTTCAGGGTCACGCTGGAAGAGGAGAGGTCTTTCATTTCAGCCGCCTGATCTCCAGGAGGACAGAACAAGCACTTTAATGGGGGAACGGAGCCCCTTCGCACTCCCGGCCCGCTGAAACAACTCGCTGCTAAATCCACACAGAATAATTATGGACGGCAAATGAGTGACGATGAATGTGTGTGAGCTTAGGAAAGAGACCCGACCCCGAAGTGGCAGTCCAATCCTCTCCTCTAACAAGCGTGGTGTAATGATGTGGACCTTTCTGTAGGGAAACGTTTTGCTTTGGACCAAAGCTTCCAGCTACACACCAATTATCCCTTTGGAGACTAATGACTGCTCTAATCTGCATGTGATGGCTCTCACACACACAGATGCTGAAATTGGTGGTTTACAGGGACTCCATACTATCAAAAAAAATATTTTTGCTGGTTGTTCAAACTACTTATTTAAATAAGCTGAATCAACACAATTTTTATTTTTTTTGGGGGCAACTTAATTGATTTATGTTCAATCCACTTAAATTAGCAAAAACAATTTAGTTAAATTTATCGATTAGTGTTGAGACAACATAGAGGAATTGTGTGGAACCCCAAAATTGTGTGAACTTAATTAGATTAAGGTAAGCCTAGAGTTATTTCAACTTATTTTATGTAAATATAACCCCCAAAAAATATTTATTCAAAATTCATTTTTCTTCGCCTTAGTCCCTTCATTAATCAGGGGCCACCACAGCTGAATGAACCGCCAACTTATCCAGCATATGTTTTACACAGTGGATGATCTTCTAGCTGCAAAGGTGTCTGGCATGGGGTGGGTAGCAGTTGGCGGTGGGGGTTGGGGGATGAGGGGTGTATGTAGATTGCTAGGCGTCAATCAACTGTTTTCTCAGAGGATGATAAGCTGATAAAACGTTGCTGCTGCTCTGATGCACGTTTTATTTTGGGAGATAATTGAAAAGCAATGCAGTGTTTGTCTGAGATAATTAGTCTACTAAAATGTGTATAATCCATACAAAATATGAAGCAGATTGGTCAGTTCTTGTCACGTGGCTTACGGTGCGCTCACAGCATTCTAATGATGTTTTTAACTGGGAGCGACTGGAAGGTGTGAGGGCATCTCACCACTCCCAATATGTGCGCACAAGCCGTATAACAAACTTGTGCGCAGAAAAGACGTGATATGTGAACAGCCAGTGGTTGAGGACCACTAGTAATAGAGTACAACTAGGTCATACCCACACAAAAAAAAGCTTCTTTATAAACCACCACAATCCAGTATACATTTGGTTGGTATTGGTGGTTTACGGGGACTGCTGTTAACAGTAAAAGCTGCTTATTATATAACCTAACCCCACCCCTATCCTTAAACCCAATCCTCACAGGAAACCTGTGGCAAAATCTGAATGTAAAAATCCAATTAAGTATAATTTTTAAGCAATTTGAATTACAAGGACATCTGGTGTGTCTATTAAAATGTCCATAAAATTTTTAGGCATTTTTGAATTACATGAATAGCCTCATTGTCCAACATAAAAGAGTGCAACAAGGCCATACTCATGCCATTATACAAAAAAGGTCCTTGTAAACGTTGGTATTGGTGGTTTACAGGGACTCTCCATAAGCATAATGTATTTTATTATATGACCTTAACACACCCCTACCCCTAAACCCAACTCTCACAGGAAAACTGTGGCAAAATTTGACTCTCAAAAGACTGCATTAAATACATTTTTAAGTGTTTTGAATTACAAGGACATCAACCTTATCCTCCTAATTGGCCATAGAACAAAATAAGGTCATACACATGTTATTATACAAAAAAAAAAAAAAAAACACATGTTGGTATTGGCGGCTTTTATAGAGACTCTCCCTAGGCGTAATGTATTTTATCCAGTAAATATCACTTACTATATGACCTAACTCACCCCTATCCCTAAATCCAACTCACACAAGAAAACTGTAGGAAAATTTAATTGTCAAAAGACCCCATTAAGTATGATTTTTAAGTGTTTTGAATCAACTATGTCCTCGTAAATTGCAATAGTAGAATTAAATAAGGTCATACCCATGTCATTATACAAAAAACGGTCCTTGAAAACAACCAAAACCAGTACAAACACACACACACACACACACACACACACACACACACACACACACACACACACACACACACACACACATGTCGGTAATGGTGGCTTATAGGGACTATCCATAGGCGTAATGTATTTTATACAATAAAAAATGCTTATTATATGACCTTACCTCCCCCCTACCCTCAAACCCAACTCTCACAGTACAACTGTGGCAAAATACAAAAAACAGTCCTTGAAAATGACCAAAACCAGTACACACACACACACATGCGCACGCGCATGTTGGTATTGGTGGCTTATAGGGACTCGCCGTAGGCGTTATGTATTTTATTTAAAAAAAAAAGCCTATTATATGACCTTATTTCAACACTACTTCTAAATCCAACTCTCACCGGAAAACTGTGGCAAAATTTAGACCCCATTAAGCATGATTTTTAATTGTTTTGAATTACAAGGACATCAAACATGTCCTCGTAAAATGGCAATAATAGAATAACATAAGGTTGACAAAGGTAAAAAAAAAAGGGTCCTCGAAAACAACCAATATTACTGCACATGCATGTTAATATTAGTGGCTTTTAGGGACTCTCCATAAGCATAATGTATTTTATACAATAAAAAATGCCTATTCTATGATCTATCTTAGCCCAATCCCTGAATCCAACTCTCATAGAAAAAACTGTGGCTTTGAATGTCAAAAGACCCCATTAAGCATGATTTTTAAGTGTTTTGAATAAACCATGTCCTCGTAAATGGCCATAATGGAATAAAAAAAGATCATATGTCATAATACAATAAACGGTCCTTAAAAATAACCATGTCCAGTACACAAACACACAAACACAAACACACACAAACACACACACACACACGCACACACACACACACACACACACACACACACACACACACACACACACACACACACACACACACACACACACACACACACACACACGCGTGATTTTTAAGTGTTTTGAATCACAACGACATCAACCATGTCCTCTTATATGACCATAGAATAAAATAAGGTCATACTCATGTCATTATACAAAAAACTGTCCTTGTAAACCACCAAAACCAGTATACACACACATGTTGGTATTGGCGGCTTACAGGGACACCCCAAAATGCATTGTATACAGTAAATACAACTTACTAGATGACCTTACATCAGCCCTACCCCTAAATCCGACACTCACAGGAAAACTTTGGCAAATTTGAATGTCAGAAGACCCCATTAAGTATGATTTTAAAGTGTTTTGAATCAACCATGTCCTCTTAAATTGCAATAATAGAATAAAATAAGGTCATACCCATGCCATTATACAAAAAAAGGTCCTTGAAAACAACCAAAGCCAGCACACAGACACACACGCACACACATAAATCTGTGGACTTCAGTGCACACCTTAGCAGAGTGGTACTTTAAATGACAAAGAGTGAAATACAGTGATCTCTAAAGACGGCTGTAGATGTGAAGACTGATAGCGTCTGAGTGCACACAGTACAAAACACATGCTTATCAAACCCACAAGAAGAAATTCCACATCACAGCCGTTCTGCTTCTCGACGAGTCGCTTTTGTGTGAAAATCTTTTGTGGCTAGACAGAAAACACACCGACTGCCGGGGATGATCATTGAGAACACCAAGTTACATCTTCCCTATTTAAACCTTGAATATCCTTCCAAATTATAACGTGATCTTAATATCATAATCTTATAATCTCTGTTGCTAGTTGAGACCCCTTAATATAAAGTCTTAATTTGTTCTTAAAGGGATAGCTCACTTAAAAATGGCAATTTTTCCGTCATGTTGTGCTTAAACCCGTATCACTCATGTCCATTGTTTACACACACTCAAGTGATCTCACACTTCTTTCTACTGTTGAACATAAAACAAGATATTCTGAAGATTGCTGGGAAAAAAGCATCCATTTACATCCATTCTTAGCACAAACACTATTAAAGTCAATGGCTATTTGCTCCCAACAATATTCAATATATCTTTATTATGTGTCCAACAGAAAACCCAACAGGGATGAGAAATTTTGACAGAATTTTTGGGTGAACTATCCCCTTTGGCATTTCAAATGTATAGTAATGCCATAAATAATAATCCACATCAATCAAAAAGTTGAATCGAACTCAATTAAAAATGCATTGTAGGTTTCATATGATGAACAGCCTTAATATAGGTTTTTATTTAAATACCATTATTAATGAGCATTTCGGCAAAAGTGACGCAGTAATGAAATAAAAGGGAAGATACCAACGCAATCTCACAACAATTCGTAACTTTTTGATTTAGTGGCTAATTCGTATGAATTCATATGATCTAATTTGTACAATTTGGCTCGATTTGCTCATCACTCAATGACGGTTGGGGTTAGGGGTGGGGTTTGGTGCCACGCCTCCTTTTTAAAGTCATACATTTTCGCACGACTGAACTACT